AAAGTGCGGGAGCAAGTTGGGATGTCAACTGAGCATTTGGTCCCGAATCCACAAAATACACGGTGTGCAGTTGTGATTCAAAACGTCATTCTCGCGATGATGAAGGCTTCGAAGAAGATTAGGGTGAAGGTCGGATAACGGAGACTGACAAACAATAACTGAGGGTATTCATCAACCAAATCTGCATGGAACTGTTCAACAGGCCTCTTCTAAATCAGTCGTAACTGAGATGGGCTTCCCAAATGTCCAGGTAAGGCTGATGTCAGAGTCCGCGATCCTTTGCGCGATTTTCGCGATTGCGCGACGGGTCACGGAAATCACAAGTGCCCCATCAATACTGCAAGGTGTTCTCCAATCCCGCCGTCACTTCTGCTTGATGGTTATGGTTTAATGGAGACTGCTCATGATTCCACTTGTTTCATATCCAGTGTTTCAATTGTTCAAATGGGGCACTTGCAATTTTTGTGATTGGTTTGGTTTGATTCCTGAAAAAAATAGGAACGATTCAAGAGCATTTCAATGAACTAATAGACATTGAACATGAAACAAGTAGAACCACAAACATTCGTCTTCCAATCTTTACTGCCAAGCAGAATTCGCAGCAGGATTAAACAACACCTCGCAGTATTCATCGGGCACTTCCAACTCCTGTGATCCATCGCAGGTTTCGCGAAAATCGCGCAAATCGCGAAGAGCGGATCGCGGACTCTGACACCAGCCATACGCAATTGGTTAAAAGGTAAATAAATCATATGTCTGACTCAGACTGCGAGCACAGTGAAGTTTTCCTCCTCTCTGACAACATCGTCTCACTTCTTCCCCCTGCATCAGCTGGAATTTATCCAACGATCAGCTCTTTCCTTCCACCATCTTCCATTCTTCTTTATTCTGCAGTACTTTTTCGGGAACCACTCTTAGCTCTCTTACCATTGCTTCTTGGCCAACACTAGTACTAGGAACATGGAAATCTTTAATTTTTCTCGATTATTCATAGGTTATGATGTAGTCTGAAAGCGTTCAATCTCTTGTACATTTTGATGTACAACATTTGTGTATTTACTTCACTATGGAGCTTACACACTAGCAAAAAAGATTGCCCCTGCTACATGAGTGCAAGTTGAGCTCGAAACCGAATGCTTCTGCATCTGCTCGTAGAATCAATGAAGCCTGGGATGAAGGCACGGTTGCAGAGAGGACTGTTCGAGAGCGTTTGATTACGCATTTATTGTTGTTTTTGTTTGGTTTTGTTAATAAACTTATGAGTGAAATGAAAACGACGGATAATTAGTGATCAACCTAATATTAACGATTGATTGAAGCTGAAAAAAAAAAAACCGACTCTGCTCTCATTCGGATCAATTGTGCAGAATGGGAAGTTCTCCGCTTGAGCTTGAGACTTTGTGAGAACATTGAAGAATGTACTCTTTCCAACATTCGGCAAACCAAGGATACCGATCTAAAATGAAGTGAAATTGTATAATGTAATCTCCAACTGTGGAAAAATGAAGAGATCTTGTATTTGAAGTTTCAAGAGAGAAAAACTTCCATTCGTCAGCAATACGACTTATGTTAGACTAGTGGCTACATTTGAATATTAAATTGAGCAGCGAACACTTCGCGAACATTAAATAGGGAAAATTGCACCAGAAGTCCGAAACAGCGGTAAAGTCGAATGCTTGAAGCCATTTCGATAAAATCGACCTCACTGAATGGTATTGCGATTCTGACCAACGAGATTAATGTCGCTCTCGAACAGAGCAACGCTTTAGATGATAGAAAAGGGATCATTGGAAAGTATTCAGTGAATCTGATGGTGCACGACTGACGCGGGATTTTGCATTTTACTATGGAAGACATTTCTTCAGAGCTTGTTGTTATAGTGAATATGGTTTGCAATGAGTATCCATTGTTTTCATCTGATTTCATCAACCACGGTTCGCCTTTTCATCCCATAATCTTGGAGATTAGAGTTCAGCAGGGTCTACTCCAACAAGGGGGTACGTGATAAAAAATTCGTGGCGCCTACAGTAATTCTACATTTAACAGATTGAATTAACAGGATGTGTTAAATATTTTGTTTCCGCTATCAACCCAACACTGAGCTTCCTCTCCCTGCAAAAATTGAAATTACTGCAGGCGGCACAAACTGTCGCACTATATGCCCCCCGCCCCCACCAGCTTAATGGAGACCCAGATAGCAGAATCGCAACAAAGATTATATGCATTTCGATTAGTGCTATCAATCAGTTATCACCTCTCGCGACCATGTGTACTTTTAACCAACAACGCCTTTTTTATGCACAAGAAATAGAGGACTTGATGTAACTCCCTTTTTGGTTCCAACTACATTTTAAAACAATGGGTGAGTACAGCCCAACAGTGATCTGGATATTCACGAAGTGGCTCAAGTGAAGAAGCTCCTTTGGTCGCGCGTTCGCTTACGGCTTCCTGCTGCCGGAAACATCCCCGGCATGGGCCGTATGGTATCCTTCCCCAGGTAGGGTTCCTTTCCTCTAATACTATTCTCAGGCTGCAGGAAACAAGGTTTCACTGTGGAACTCTCCATTAAAGCAACAGCCCCAGCAGGATTTTTACCTTCGACACTAGTGGTGTTGAACGCTGCGCTGGCCCTAATCAAGGACATAAGAAGTGTGACCGCAGAACGGCTTCGAAATGTGCATGGCTGCGAATCGGCTGAAGGGATGCAGCCGATTCGCAACCACGCCCACTTCGAAGCGTTCAGCTCCCTTTCTAGCGGCTTTCCAAGGTGAGTTTTTTGTTCAGTCACACTTCTTATGTTCTTGACTAGGGCTAGCGCATCGTTCCACACCATTAGTGTCGAAGGTAAAAACCCTGCTGGAGACTGTTGCTTTAACAGGTGGGTGTTACGGGGTAACTTTTCTGTTGTAGCACACTCTATTCTTCAGAGGGTCGCCCTTCTCTCCTTGTGGGGAAGGTAGAAACGCAGAGATGTGGCAAGTCCTATCATAGAACCCTGTCTCCCTCAACCAAAGGCAGATGGCGCCGACCAGAGAAATACTCAGTGAGAAGCATCACATGCAATGTTCGTGAAGATTATGGTAATTCTATTTTTGTTCAGTGAGTCTTCCAATGATGATAAACGATATAGTTTCAGGAGGGATGGAATCATGAAAAAGATCAAAAATAAACAGGCCAGGAGACGAATGCAGCGAAAAAGGGAAGAGGGAGGGGAGAGTTTTCGCAGTGGGGGAATATCTCCAGTGTGCGTGAACCATCTCGCTTATGCTGCTAGACTAACCCCGCAGCTTCGTTCCTTTCAAAATTGAAGATTTTGATGAGGCACAAACTGTTACCCATGTCACATGCCTCCTTATAAAACCAGATCTGAGCCCCCCAGTGTGCGGAAGGGGGGAGATATCAGGGTTCCAAATGGGAACGAGGGAAACGATAAATTGGACAAATCAGACCAAGACTCCATCGCGTCCTTCAACTTCTTCTTTGTTCCATCCAGCACAAAAACTTGAATTATCCACAAAAATTCAAAGATATGACTAGGAATAGCCGCCAGCAGAAGCAAACTGAAGAAGTCCTCCAGAAAAATAAAAGAGCGGAAGTTCTGTAGTAGTAAGTATCGCAGCTTATCACGTGTGCGATGCTGCTATCATAAACTGGATCATGCGCCGTCCACAATTGGGCCTTGCACCACTGAGGGGTCGATTAACTTGTAGCAGAAGCGTCTAGTCGAGGCGAACTATTGCTGCACGATGGCTCCCTTTTTCAAATGGAAAAAACCGAAACAAGTGAAGTTAACACGAGACTGATAACACATGGTCAAAGAAACCACTGAGCAAGATGGGAATTACAGTACTCATCAAACAATCGCATTACGATGTCCTTTAAGCTAGAACTCATTTCGAGTTAACGACAAGGAGCCGCGTAGCAATACCCGCCGACCCGAAACGTGGAAGTCCTATGGCGCGATCCTTCAGTGCTGCATGCCAGCTGGGGATGAATTCCGAACGTCAGGAGCCTTCTCCGGTCGGGACCACTGCATACGGCCTCGAACGTACAAGGGTCACGTGACTGCGAACGCTAGACGCGGAAACGCCAGTTCCTGTCCGTATGACCCATACAATGGCAATGGGAAGTCCGAGGCACCCATGCAAACCATGCGGATCAAACGACACGTTTGCTGTCACGAATGCACAACGACAGTGGAAGCAGATTCTGACAGTTATGTACCTGTAGACTTTCAAGGCTCAAACTCAACTGCGCAAACATTAAACAAGACCAGCAGGAAGCAGAAGAAATAAAAAATGAAAAATATGAGAGAACTAGCTACTCAATGAGTAACGAAGCGAAAGCCTTTTGAAAGCAGTTTGTTACAACTAGTGAAATTTTACCCGGAGATTAGTTCCTAGTCGTCCAAGTAGGGGCACGCGTTCGACCTCTCCCTTTTTTTTCGGTGGCATCCTTAAACTCTGACCAGCAACCCACAGACTTGATACCCTGAACATGGAGCAAATTACGTTTACACTTGGCTTAGCTGGCAATGCATACTTTATTTCGCCTAAGAAAAAGGATGAGCAACCTAGGCAGAGAATTAACTCGAACTAATTCTTCTCAACAACCTTTTTCTGAATAAGAGAGATGAAATCATGCTATCAACTGATTGTCCATCTAACCGGAACGATTTGCGTGTGCGCGTCTTGTACTCGCAATCGAGAATAAAAAGGCGTGAAAGGCAACAGAGTAGTGATAGCACATGCATCAGAACAGAACAGTTGACATTTAATAAATTTATTTAAAAACAAAGTTTTCCAGAGAAAAATCTCTTTGAAACCTGATCAGCATCAAAAAATCATGAACAGCTCAATAACAAAACACTGAACAGACATCGCATCAGCAAAATACATACAAAGATAGATAGAATAGATACAGCAAAAACAACAACACGTTATATAACTCATGAGCAACCGCCTACGTCACTTCATGAGCAGGGTTTGGATGAGATCGCGTTAGAACTGCTGACGAGGCGGCATCGGGGGCATACCCGGCGGCGGTGCCCCATAACCAGGCTGCATCATACCCATTGCCGGACCACCTAGGAACACGAGTGCAACACCAAGGTGGGAAGACAGCAAGAAAACCACTTACCAACACCTCTAACTGCGCCAGCAAGACCAGCAGCGGGGACTGGTGGCATACCGGGTGGCATGACAGGCATTCCTCTTCCCACAGGCTTCGACTGGCCGGGTCCAGCGATACCTCCTGCCTTCGGTAGACGAACTGTGTCTTCATCCTTTGGTGGTGGACCATCGACTGTCATCGATACTATGTGCTCTCCACGGAGCAACACAAGACCAAGTGTTCGTTTCTCTTCACCTTCAGCGATCTTCTTCCCAGGCTTGGGCTTAATTTGACGAAACTCTTCACAATCGGCGAGCAAAATGTTCATGTGCTTATCGAAGGCTTTGAAGTAGCCCAGAAAAGTGCGCGAGTCTTGCAGGATAACTTTCATTCTGAAGTTCAGGTGAGCCATCATCTTGTTGTTTTTACTGATCGTCATCTTGGATTTTCCTGACTTTGTACTGCCACACTTTGTACTGCCATTTTCCTCGACGTCTCGCTTGACCCTGCTCCGTAGCCACGTTGCGCCCAAGTATCTTGTGCTTTTCTCTTTGGTTGACTCCCTCATAACTGCACTGAAAGCCTACCCATCTTCTTACAATGCCTAAGGAAG